ATAAATAGAGAAATAATCATAAAAATATGGGGTTCTGGTTTAGTTTGGTTTGTAAAAATGTAGGTTCTTGCTCTCCCTTAAAGAATCTAAACTGGAAATCAAAGATGTTATAAGAATGATTTATGCAATGACAGCAACATGGACTCACAGATAGGATGGGTGAATAAGTGTACAGTCAGTTCTTGTTATTCACTGTAGTTATTTTCTACTAGAGGCCTGGTGCATGAAATTCTTGCATGGTTGGGGTCCCTAGGCCTGGCCGGTGATCAGGGCTGATCAGGTTCCCTGCCTCCCCGCCTCCTCCTCCCCTCACCGCCCGTGTCTGCTGCTACCCACCCCCAGTTGGTTCCCCAGCCCAGGCCCAGCCCCAGTCAGGCAATTGGGACCTGTCAGCCAGAGGGAGGGACTGGGAGGTTGGCAGCGGGCGCTGATCAGGCGATTGGGGCCTGCTGGCCGGGGGGAGGGGCCAACTACCACCGTGGCAGGTGGGCGGTGGGCCGATTGGGGCCTGCAGAATTGGGGGAGGGACCCAGGAGGTTGGCCGCTGGCCACAAGGAGGGAGCCGGCCTTCGACACCCCTGGGAAAGGGGCTGCGTCCACCACCACCCACCCTCGGTTCCTTGTCCCAGCCCGGGGGCCTGGCCCGGATCAGGTGATCAGGGTCTGCAAGCTGAGAGGAGGGACCAGGATGTTGGCCAGCAGGCCCCATTGGTGATCGGGGCCTGCAGGCTGGGGGCAGCTCCTGTGTTGAGCGTCTGTCCCCCTGTGGCCAGTGCACGTCATAGTGACTGATCGTTCCATCATAATGGTCACTTAGGCCTTTCTACATATAGATAGAGGCACCATGAACACAGAATTAATACTGAGTCATTGCTCCTGAATGACACAGTCACAACATTTCATCAGCTGAATATATAACCTCATTTTATGTGTGTTTCTATTTAAATACAGCTTATTTATGAAATACTATTGACTCATTGACATGAAATTGACAGCCACAGCCAACTGCAATTCATCTCTGATGAAAGCTTATCTAAAACAGGTATTTTTTCCATAAGGCACATCACAGTCTCTTGCACTTAGGAACAGCACTTCAGCACTATGCTCCGGGGACATTTTATACACAGAACCACCAACAAAAAGCACTACAGATAGATTGTGGCACTAAACAGACTGCAAAAAAGACACTTGTTTACAGTATGACAGCTGAACAAGAAGGCAGAGTGTCTCCTTTTTAGATCTCAGCTGGGAATGTGTGCCTAGGGCAACTCAAGTTTTTCACAGTGCTGTGCACAATCATGAATGACCCAGAAAGTGCTGCAAGTACTAATTTGGGGTTTACAAGTAAATTTTAATGAATAGGCAAATTCATAAATACAGAATCCACAAATAATGAGGATCAACTGAATGTATTTTGTCAACCAATGGTTGTTGTTGCCAATTCAAACTGAAACAGGAGTCCCCAATTTGGGGTGTGGTAAAGAAGGAAACTTTATTCAGTACAAACAGCTCAGAGGTAATACAACATGGCCATGAAAATAGCACTGTTGTGGAACAGCTCCCTGTGAAGCTGCCTGGGAGCCAGGCAGTCCTGAGGCTAGGTCCCTCTTCAGCTAGGCAGCTCTGCTATGTAATGGTCCACTCTGTGATGGTCCACTCTGCTCTGCCCCACCTCCCACTGGTCAATGCTGGGTCTGAGAAATCTACAGTGTTTCAGCTGCAGCCAGGGAAAGCCAGTCTTTGGTGGAAAGTGTGCTCCCAGATCCATAGGGGAGCTGGCTTATATAGACAGAAGTCCCCACCTCTGGTCCCTGATTGGTCAGAGTTGTGTAGCTCTGATTGGCTGGGGAAAGCTTCAGTCCTATTGGTTGAAATAGTATTCCAGGAAACCCTTATAAGGGCTGGCTCAGAGGGCAGTTCAGTGCAGAGGTAGGTAGTTTACTGAGGAGGCTTCTCTGCTAAGTGCAGTTTGTGGAGAGATCCCTGTGCAGAAATGGCTGTTCTGCCCTTCCCTTCCCTTCCCTTCCTTACCCTTCCCCTTCCCTCCCCTTCCCTTCCCCTTCCCTTCCTCTCCCCTTCCCTTCCCCTTCCCTTCCCTTCCCCTTCCCCTTCCCCTTCCCCTTCCCCTTCCCCTTCCCCTTCCTTTATTCCTTTCTTTCCTTCTTTCTTTTTTTTTTTTTTTTGATCCCAGCCAGCCACCTTCTTAGTCCTCAGGGCTATGGTTTACTCAACTATATAGTGATCCAGAGTCCAGGACAGTTCCTGGCACTAGTAAAAATGAATTTAAAACACTGCACAAAATGTATGTAGGCAGTGCTATATGAATTCGGGAAGTTCGAGATAGTGTAGACTTCAAGTGAAAGATGCCTGTAGGGGCCCACTGGGCTACAGCTTGCTCCAATCTTTCTTTTTTCTTTTTTTTTTTTTAATTATTTTTATTGATTTCAGAGAGGAAGGGAGAGGGAGAGAGAGGTAAAAACATCAATGATGAGAATCATTGATCGGCTGCCTCCTGCACGCCCCCTACAGGGGATCGAGCCCGCAACACAGGTATGTGCCCTTGACTGGAATCGAACCCGGGACCTTTCAGTTCACAGGCGGACGCTCTATCCCCTGAGCCAAACCAGCTAGGGCTGCTCCAATCTTTCTTACTTCTTCTCTTATTCTCACTTTCCAGGGAAGGCACGGACCAGTGCCCATCTCCCACAGTTCCCCAAACCATACCTGCGTACGCCCCAGGCAGGACAGAGGGGAAGGGAGAGAGAAAATGTGAACTATCTCTAGTTCATAAAGTACCAAACCAGATAGGCCATAGGCTTGACCACCCAGCCCGTCCTGCCAGCCTGTAAATCACACATCGTGGGGCCTTCCTGAGCCCTGGGCTCTGCACCTCCCTGTAGGCCCCTAGCCCCTCTGATTGTCCAGTGCGCTCCTGGATAAATGGGCTCCTTTGTATTACCCGCACCACATGAGACTCAGTGCAGAGGCTTTTCTTCTGGAGTTTGTATAGATTGCCACCCCCCCCACCCCCCCCCCCACCCCCCCGCCACACACACACACACACCTACTGCAAATAGTGGTTTGGACATTGTTGACCCGTGGAAAAAAGAGGCAAAAAGCCCACTGTCATTAGCCGTTTGTAATGAGATGTTTTTCTAGATGTATAAGGAACATTTCAAATGCATGCAGAAGTACAGAGACTACTCTAATGACCCCTCACTCGTCACTCAAGTTTCAGGAATTAACCACCCACAGGCACTTGTGTCTCATCTCTTCTCTGCCCCAGATAATTTCAAAACAAATCCCAGGCAACACATTTCATTTATAAATATCTCATTATATGTCTGTAAAGAAAAAGGGCTTTTAAGAAATGTAGACAAGACATTATTATCATCTAATACGGCAATTTTCAACCTTTTTCCTCTCATGGTACACATAAACTATTCACTAAAATTATGTGGCACACCAAAAAATACAATTTTTGCCAATCTGACAAAAAATAAGGTATAATTTTGATTCATTCATACTGGATGGCTATTGTTGTGTTGGCTATTGTCTTTTTTTTTTTTTTTAACAATCTAAGAACTTTATTCCTCTGTGAAACAATAATAGGAACTGCCGTAGAGGTTTTGTAAGGGGCAGATGTGCTTACATGTGTAAGTACTGGAATGACGCTTGGCACACAGTACTGTGATCATAGGAATGTGCCCGGGAAATTAGTCTAATGTGACTGAGGAAATTTTAATTAATTAAATGTAAATAACCATGTGTAGCTCTAGTGATGGCTTAGGCCAGGGATTTTTCAAATGGTGTGCCTCAAGAATTTTTAAAACATGCAATACTGAGTATTTAGTCAGGGGCACTGACCTCTTTTTTCTTAGATTGTCAAATGAAAAAAAGACAACAGCCAACACAACAATAGCCATCCGGTGTGAATGAATCAAAACATACCTTTACTTTTTGTCAGATCAGCAAAAAATACACTTTTTGTGTGCCGCAGAATTATAGTGATTAGTAATGTGTGCCATGAGAGGAAAAAGGTTGAAAATCGCTGGATAGGGGATGTTGACAACCTCCTAATGATTGTATAAATTTTAAGATGGTGGTTTTCAGCAAAGACCTACAGGACAGCACTCGTGTGAAAGTGGAGAAAAGTATTTAACAACGGCACTTCCGACGCATCCATGTGTCCCAGGACAGTTAGGGTGAAAGAGGAGGGCTGCTCTAAAGTAAAGCATTCGTGGGGGCTCCTAGGAAAGGGAGACGGCCTCGTGGTGGGACCCTCACGTGGGGGTTTGTGTTTGCTTCTTACGAGGCGTGTGCCCTCAGCCTTAGTGTTCTCCTCTGCGATAACGGTCCACCTGCCGGGGTCGTGCCACTGCCCTTGGTGTGGGCTCAGAGGCGGGAACTGCGGTTATTCTTCAGACAGTGAGTGGCAATAATATCAGAATATAACACATAAATCGTAATCTCTGTCACATGCTGCAACCTTGGTTGAAGAGTTTATCATTTTATCTTGATCAGGTACCAGGAATGCTGATGTGATTGCCTGAGGTGCTGTGTAAATTTGTGCTTTTTGACTTTCAAAATGTTTTATGACTAGAATACACTGAGCAGAGGGAGTGAGGACACCACTTTTTGGTGTGCCACATAATTTTAGTAACTAGTTTATGTGTACCATGAGAGGATCCTTTGGAAGGATCACTCAGTGTAACAGAACAAAGGCCTGCGACAGTGTGCACACCTGTGCTGTCTGCAAAGATGGGAAACCCAGAAGTTAGGCTATAGTTTCTTTTTAAGGAAGAGTTTTTTGTTGCTGACCGTGAGCAATCTGGCTTCTAGATGTTACATCATTCCTATTTTCATTATTATAATAAATTGTTTTATCATTTTATTTTCATTTATTTATAGATCAAAGGACAATAAAATACAATAAGATTAATGGACAGGTGGAAATTCTGACTTCGCTGTCTCCTTATATTCTGTCACTTTCTTCCCAGATGTGACATTTGCTGTGTCACCTTTCGGACACATCGAGGATTGCTACGCCACAATGCGCTTGTCCACAAACAGCTTCCCAGAGATGCAACGGGAAGGCCTTTCATCCAGAACAACCCTTCCATTCCTGCTGGCTTCCATGACTTGGGATTCACCGACTTCTCCTGTAGGAAGTTTCCTCGGATTTCTCAGGTATGCTGATGGGCAGAACCAGCGGCCATCTCCTCCGTGGTCCACAGGGTGGGACTTAAATTCTTCACCCTGAGGTTTCCTTTCCTTCAAATGAGGTCCCTTGGGTTTTGTTTTTAACACCTTTCCTCTTGAAATTCAGTTTTGTCCTTTTTAGTCTTTTTTGGGTTGTTGTGTTGAGAGGTGTAGGTGGCCTTTCTTTTTTTTTTTCTTCATAGTTACTTACATCTGAGTCTAGCTCATCAGGGCTTTTGCCCATTCTTTAGGCCCTATCAGAATTAGATTTGTATTTTTAATTACATCAATTTATAGTTTTAATTAGCCTTACAGCTAAATATTTTCAGCATTGTAGTTTTTATTTAAAACTAATGACCCCCTGCAATTCATGCACACTGAAAGGAAATTAATTAGAAGGTGGCTGACGAGGCAGAACTGGGTGAGAAGGGCCGGACACGCCCTGGAACCAACCTTCCGCGCTCCCTCCGGTGTCTGAGGAGTGAGCAGGGTCCCTCCGGCAGGTGGGGTCCCTCAGCCTGGCCTGTGGGGATCAGGCCGAAACCCGCTCTCCGACATCCCCTGAGGGGTCCCAGAGTGCGAGAGGGCACTCTGCTAAGTTGGTGTCGTATAGGGTGTGGAACGCAAAAGCAAGTGTGCAGTAAACCATATTCGAGGCCAACAGTGCCCCAGCAACAACATAACCCACAGCCGAAGGTGGAATCACGTGGGCCCACAAGGAATTGGGCTCCCTCCTCTCTGGTTTTGGGGTACATCACCTGAGAACCGCCGCTGCCAAGTCACTCCAGCTCAGCAGTTCCTGCATTGAGCATCTGCCCCCTGGTGGTCAGTGCACGTCATAGCAACCGGTCGGACGGGCAGAGAGACACTTAGCATATTAGCCTTTTATATATAGATAGATGTTTTGGGTCATTATTAACCTGAGCCATATTTGTTCTCTGCTGATAAAGTACCTGCTAAAACTACTTTTTTCCAAATTTAAAAAATTGATAGACGATAGCAACAGTGAAATTCTTCCAGTGCATAAGCCTCAAGCTCAATTCCATATGTAGGCACCCATATGTGTGTACTCATGTAATCCCGGATGGTGCTCCCTCTCTCCTTGACAGCACAGGGGTTCTCCACCATCAGTTAGTTTTACAAGGCACCCATTTTTTAAAAAGAAAATCCTACCACTGTGATATTATTACTTAACTTGCTTCACTGCTGAGATACCTGGGGATGATATCATTCATCAAGAAAACATGCTTGTGGGTTTCCTTATTCACTCCAGCAATTAGTGAGCAGGGAAAGGTCAGCTCCTACACGTTATGGAGAAAGTTGGGTACTGCAGCCGTTCTGCATCTCAGTTTAGTGATGATTTTTAAATCCTCCTTTTGATTCCTCGCTTTGCAGGGCTGGTGTGAAACAAACCTGCGAAGGTGCATCAGCGAGCAACACCGTTTTGTCTGTGACATCTGCGACAAGGCATTCCCCATGCTCTCCTCGCTCGCCCTGCACAAGCAGACCCATGTCGCTGTGGACCAGGGACGGGAAAGGTTGCAAGCCAAGACCCTACCTGGTGACGCCATGGAACAGAAGGTCTTCCTGGCCTTGCTGGGCCTGCAGCACACCAAAGACGTCAGGCCTGTCCCAGCCGAGGAGCCCCCGCCGGATGACAACCAAGCAATACAGTTCCAGGCACTCAAGTGTCAGCTACCTCAGGAACCCGGCTGCACCAACATGCTGAGGCTATCTCCTTTCGAAGCTTCTTCCCTGGGCGGTTCTCTCACAGTCCTCCCGGCCACCAAGGAGAGCATGAAGCACCTGTCCCTGCAGCCTTTCCAAAAGGGCTTCATCATCCAGCCTGATAGTAGTATTGTGGTCAAGCCCATCTCCGGGGAGTCCGCCATTGAGCTGGCTGACATCCAGCAGATCCTCAAGATGGCAGCCTCAGCACCCCCTCAGATCAGTCTTCCGCCTCTCTCCAAGGCCCCTGTCACCCCTCTGCAGGCGATTTTCAAACACATGCCCCCTCTGAAGCCAAAGCCTCTGGTCACACCACGGACAGTGGTGGCCACCTCAACACCCCCTCCTCTCCTCAATGCCCAGCAGGCCTCCCCTGGCTGCATCAGTCCCAGCCTGCCCCCGCCGGCCCTGAAGCTCCTCAAAGGCTCTGTGGAGGTGGCCTCCAACACAAACCTGCTGCAGTCCAAGTCCGGGGCCCAGCCACACGCGGCCATGCAGCTCTTCCTGCAGCAGCCACGGGTAGAGCTGCCAGGTCAGGCCGAGATGAAGACGCAATTGGAGCAGGACAGCATCATCGAAGCCCTGCTGCCCCTGAGTATGGAAGCCAAGATCAAGCAGGAGATAACAGAGGGAGACCTCAAGGCCATCATGACGGGCCCCAGCAGCAAGAAATCTCCAGCCATGCGTAAGGTGCTCTATCCCTGTCGCTTCTGCAACCAGGTGTTCGCCTTCTCCGGGGTGTTGCGTGCTCATGTGCGCTCCCACCTGGGTATCTCTCCATACCAGTGCAACATCTGCGACTACATCGCGGCCGACAAGGCCGCACTCATCCGCCACCTGCGCACGCACAGTGGCGAGCGGCCCTATATCTGCAAGATCTGCCACTACCCCTTCACCGTCAAGGCCAACTGCGAGCGGCACCTGCGCAAGAAGCATCTCAAGGCCACCCGCAAGGACATCGAGAAGAACATCGAGTATGTGACCAGCAGCGCGGCAGAGATGGTGGACGCCTTCTGCTCCCCAGACACAGTGTGCCGGCTGTGCGGTGAAGACCTGAAGCACTACCGCGCTCTGCGCATCCACATGCGCACGCACTGTGGCCGCGGCTTGGGCGGCTGCCCTAAGAGCCACAAGCCCTTTGAGTGCAAGGAGTGCAGTGCCACCTTCTCAGCCAAGCGCAACTGCGTCCACCACATCCTTAAGCAGCACCTACATGTGCCAGAGCACGATATCGAGAGCTACATCCTGGCGGCAGATGGCCTGGGCCCCAAGGAGGCCCCTGCAGCTGAGGCCTCAGGGAGGGTGGAGGAGAGCAGCGGAACCTTTGGTGAGCACAAACCCCTTGCTACCTTTCTGGAGGCCCAGAATGGCTATCTTCATGCCGGCCCCACCCAGCCTCCGCCTCCCATCTCTGTCAAGTTGGAGCCGGCCAGCAACTTCTCAGTGGACTTCAACGAGCCTCTGGACTTCTCCCAGAAGGGCCTGGCTCTAGTCCACGTGAAGCAGGAAAACGCAGCCGTGTTCCTGAGCCCCTCTTCCTCGGCCCCCTATGACTGCTCCATGGAGCCCATTGACCTGTCCATCCCCAAGAACTTTAGGAGAGGAGAAAAGGACCCAGCTGCTCCCAGTGAAGCCAAGATGCCTGAGCAGGAACCAGGGAGCAGGGAGCAACTCTCTCCCTGTCCACCACCGTGCCCTACTCTGCCAGTGCCCTTGGGATCCAGTGGGATCTTAGAGAAACCCTTGGCCCTTTCGGCAGCAGCCTCCACAGCCACTACTCTGGAAGCCCATGCTCAGCCCTTGCAGGGCTCCGTTCAGGTCGCTGTCCCCATTTACTCTTCAGCCCTCATCAATAGCTCCCCTCTCTTGGGCAGCTCCACCCTGATAAGCAGCCCAGCCTTGTTGAGGCCTCTACGCCCCAAGCCCCCCCTGCTCTTGCCAAAGCCCCCTATGACAGAAGAGCTGCCCCCACTGGCCTCCATTGCCCAGATCATCTCATCCGTGTCCTCAGCCCCCACCTTGCTCAAAGGCAAGGTGGCTGACCCAGGGCCCACAGGCACCAGCAGTAACACCACAGCTTCAGACAGCTTAGGAGGCACCACTGCCCCCACTGAGACCACCAGCCCCAAAGAATCCAGCGACCCACCCCCTGCTGCCAACAGTCCAGAGGCGGCTTCACCCACTGGGCAGGGGCCAGCTGGCTTGTCAAAGAAGAGGGGCCGAAAAAAGGGGTTGAGGAGCCGGCCCCGGGCCAGCAGTGGTGGGGTAGACCTGGACTCTAGTGGGGAATTTGCCAGCATTGAGAAGATGCTGGCTACCACAGACACCAACAAGTTCAGTCCATTTCTGCAGACTGCAGAGGACGATGCTCAGGACGAGTTGGCCGGTGCCCCCGCTGACCACAATGGGCCCAGTGATGAAGAGCAGGGCAGCCCCCCAGAAGACAAGCTGCTGAGGACAAAGCGGAACTCTTATGCCAACTGCCTGCAGAAGATCAACTGTCCCCACTGCCCTCGCGTCTTCCCTTGGGCCAGCTCCCTCCAGAGGCACATGCTCACACACACTGGTAAGAGGGCCTCACACACACTACGTCCAGTGGGGAGACTGGCCACCGGCCAGGGGGAGAAAGAGGGTGGAGTTGAAAGTGTGGGGTCCTGTTCCCATGGCTCCATTCCTAGGTTCCCTTCCTTCTGTCTCAGAAGCAGGGGGTTGGCCTATTGAGGCCGTGTGCTCAGGTAACCAGACGACCTATTGCTATTGTATGATCCCTCTGAGGGCTGCTGGTGAAAGGAGAGTGTTGAAAGTAAGGTGTTTTTAGGTGAAAAATGGTCCTAGACCAATCAGTTACTCACTGCCATCCCTCTGGTCCCTTCTGGAAAAGGCAGCAAGATTAAACTCTTGGTTACCCACAGGAGGCAATGAGGGAGAAATGGAGCTTTGTATTAAGTTAATGACCATGCAACTGTTTTCTTAATTATAATTTACTAAATATTCATACAGGATGTATGTCATTGAACTGAGGACAAATTGGGTGAGATCTTCAACCTTTAGATAATATTTTGATAACCTGAATATTAATAGGTAGTACCTAAAACTGAATAAAGAATTAGACAGTATAGGATTGCCATATAAAATATAGGATACCAGTTAAATTTGAATTTCAAATAAGTAACAATATTTTTGTATGTTTTTCATGCAGTATTTGAGATATACTAAAAATTTACTTGGTTTTTATCTGAAATTCAAATTTAACTGGTGATCTGTAATTTTAGTTGCTAAGTCTGACAACCCTGGGTAATTAGGAGGCTTAAGGTGGTGGCAGCGTGGTGAGGGAGGTGGTGGGACTGACTGGGTGTGAGCCATGCTCTGTGCCAGGTGGAAACACTTCGTTCAGGGCTGATCATCACTTGAAGCTCCGCAGAAACCCACAGAGGAAGGCTGTTTCTACAAAGGGGAAGTCGAAGAGAGTGTGAGAGGGGATGGAGGGGAGTGAAAGCTGCTGGTCTCTGAGGCTGGTGACCACCTAGATGTGACACCTCTCTCCAGTGTGGTGGAATCCCATGCTGGCATGTCAGGCATGCCTGTCCCTGGGGGACTCATTGCCAGGAGCAGAATTTCTAGGTTTGTAAAGTATAGGCTGCATTTCAAACCATCGTTTTCTTTCCATTTGAAGTCATGTAAGCCTGACAAAGTAAAGTAACAGTTCTGACGAAGGGGACAGTTCAGAAAAGGAGGTGCATCTTAAAGAGAAGGTGACCCCACACTTTCTATTGCTGTCCTTTTTGGGTGACACTTTATGGTCCCCTGTGGAGTCTGGAGGGGAATTTCTGTTCCTGCTTTTTAGAAAGCAGATGGTCTGGCTCTGAGGAACAGTGTGGCTCTTACCCTGCCTCCCTGCCCCCCATCAGCCTCCCAGCTCATTCTTCCAGCTGGGAGTCCAGTGCTCAGTTGGTGAAGCCCATGCCATTGTCCTTGGGTGAGGCCTTTCTTCCTGGCCATTCTCTTCCTAGTGAGCCATCAGTCTCCCCAATAGGACTGGTGTGGCCAGGAACTCCTTTCACGAGTTGTGCCCATGTCTTTAAAGATGTCTGATAAATGTTCCAATTTGTGCAGTCAAGATGGCGGCCAGCAGGATGGCAGTGAGAGAGAGAGTGTGAATGAGGGAGCAAAAGGGAAGTGTGTGGTGTGTGTGGATGTGAGTGAGGGACAGTTAGATCCTGCTGGACTTTCGGGGGCTGGCCAACCAGGCTCTCTTAGACGGTAGCTCCCGCTACCACCAGGACTGCAGCCTTTCCGTACACAGGCTCCTGTGAGTTCTGGAGTGTGCTTCCCTCCCCACCGGCCCACCGCCTTGGCCCCAGGCCTCACACGTCTGGCACCTGAGCTCTCCTATGACTCTCAAGGTACACGACCCACCCGCCAAGCCCTCTGCTTCCGCCACAAGCCCCATGCAGCTCTGCACCTGGACACTTTGGTGATAGCAAAAATTGGAAGACAAAGAAAACCCCCAAAGGAAAGAAAAAAGGAAACCAAAAAAAAGGGGGAACTAAATGAAACAGAAGCATGTAATATGTCAGGTAAAGAATTCAGAGTAATGGTCATACAGTTCATAAACCGGATAAATGAGAAAGTCCACAACTTATGTAAGTATCAAGAGGAAATCAAGAATGCTATAGCCACAATAAGAATCATGATGGAAGGTTTCAACAGTAGACTAGAAGAATTGGAAGACCGAATTAGTGAGTTGGAAGATAGGGCAGAGAAACACACCCAATCTGAACAGCAATTGGAGAAAAAAATCAGAAAGCAGGAGGAGAGCCTAAGGGAGCTCTGGGACAACATGAAACAAAGTAATATATGTATGATAGGGGTGCCAGAAGGACAAGAAGAAGAGCAAGGATTAGAGAACCTGTTTGAAGAAATAGTGACAGAAAACTTCGCTGATTTGGGGAAGAAAAAAGTCACACAAGCACCGAGAGTTCCCAAATGATGAACCCAAAAAAGACCCACACCACATTGTAATTACAGTGGGAAACATTAATGACAAAGAATCTTAACCCATTGTATGCCATAAATGTTTGTAGACAGAAGCAGCAGACCTTCCCCACATGCCATGTGTATCTGTTAAAAAAAAAAAAAAATGTATCCCTGAGTGGCAGCCCTGACCAGCTTTAAAGTAATTTTTTGTGAGAATTTTCAACTGAAAATATTCAAGAACACCTGAATTGTGAGTAGTATATTTATTTTTATAATATTCATTGCAAATTGATTTTTTAAACTAAATTCAAAATATCATGGCATGTGGGAATGGTTTCCATTTCAGACACATGGCAATTAACTGATTAAAAGCTGCAAGAGACAGAGTGTTACCTACAAAGGATCTTCCATTAGATTATCAAGTGATTTCTCAACAGAAACACATCAGGCCAAAAGGGAATGGAATGAAGTATACAAAGTGATGCAAAGCAAGGGAATGAATCCAAGAATACTCTATCCAGCAAGGCTATCATTCAGAATTGAAAGGGAAATCAGGAGCTTTGCAGACAAAAAAAGGCTAAGGGAGTATATCACTACCAAGCCAGCAATGCAAGAAATGCTAAAGGGACTAATGTAAAAAGAAGAAATAGAGAAGAAGGAACACAGTCATAAAGGATAAAAATGGCTACAAATAAGTACCTATCAATAATAACCTTAAACATAAATGGACTAAATGCTTCAATCAAAAGACATCGAGTGGCTGAATGGATAAGGAAACATGACCCATATATATATGCTGTCTCCAAGAGACCCACCTCAGAACAAGGGACTCATACAGACTGAAAGTGAAGGGATGGAAAAATATTTTTCAGGCAAATGGAAATAAATTTTAAAAAGCTGGGGTAGCAATACTTATATCTGACAAAATAGACCTCAAAGTGAAGACCAGAAGAAGGGATACTAAACGGATCAATACGACAAGAGAATGTAACTTTGGTAAACATATGCACCCAATACAGGAGCACCCAAATACATAAAAAAAAAAAAAACTTCTGGAAGATATCAAGGGAGAGATCAACAGCAATACAATCATAGTAGGGGACTTTAATACCCCATTGACATCACTGGATAAATCCTCTAGACAAAAAACCAGCAAAGATATAGCAACACTAAACAACTCACTAGATCAGATGTACTTAATCAACATCTTCAGAACATTTCACCCCAAAGCTACAGAATATACATTCTTCTCAAGTGCACATGGGACATTTTCTAAGATAAATCAAATATTGGGACACAGGAAAAGTCTCCTCAAATTCAAGATGGAAATCATATAAAGCATCTTCTCACATCACAATGGCATAATGTTAGTAATGACTACAATAAAAACAATCACAAAAATTCAAACACTTGGAGGTTAAATAGCATGTTATTAAACAACTAGAGGCCTGGTGCACAAAAATTTGTGCACTCGGGGGGGAGGGGGGTCCCTCAGCCCGGCCTGTGCCCTCTCGCAGTCTGGGACCCCTCAGGAGATAATGACCTGCTGGCTTTGGCCTGCTCCCGGGTGGCAGAGGGCAGGCCCAATCCCTAGGTGCAGCCCCTGGTTGGGCTCAGAGCAGGGCCAATTGGGGAGTTGGGGCGCCGCCCCGTCATGCACAGAGCAGGGCAGATTGGGAGGTTGTGATGCCACCCTCAGTCACGCTCAGGGTAGGGCCAATTGGGGGGTTGGGACACCGCCCCCTGTCACACTCAAGGCAGGGTCAATGGGGAGGTTGCGGCGCCACCCCCTGTCACGCACAGAGCAGGGCCAATCAGGGCGTTGGGGCGCTGCCTCTGTCACACACAGAGCAGGGCCCATCAGGGGGTTGGGGCACCGCCCTCTATCACCCACAGAGCAGGGCCCATCAGGGGGTTGGGGTACCGCCACTCTCACACTCAGGGCAGGGCCGATGGGGAGGTTATGGCTCTACCCCATCACACACAGAGCAGGGCCCGTGGGGGGGAGGGGGTTGGGAAGCTCCCCCCTATCAGGCACAGAGCAGGGCTGCTCAGGGGGTTGGGGCCCCGTGCCCTGTCACACACAGAGCCGCAGGGCGGTCAGGGGGTTTGGGCGCTGCCCCCTGTCACGCTGACCCCGGTGCCAGGAGGCATATTACCCTTTTACTATATAGGGTAGAGGCCTGGTGCATGGGTGGGGCCGGCTGGTTTGCCCTTAAGGGTGTCCTGGATCAGGGTGGGGGTCCCCACTGGGGTGCCTGGCCAGTCTGGGTGAGGGGCTGAGGGCTGTTTTCAGGCTGGGAGTGACTGAAGTTCCCAACCGCTCCTTTTTTTCTCTCTTTTTTTTTTATTCTGGGCCAGCTTTACCTTGAGGCTTGGCTCCAGCTCTTAGGCCTCCACGGCTCAAAGTAGGTTTCTGGCCTTTGCTTACAATGTTGCGAATCTGCTGGCTGAAGTCCGGCGGTATTTGTTACAGTGTTTCTTAAACTGCCCTCTCAGAGGCCTGCAGCCGCAGGCAGGGATCATTGGTTTCCTCCAACGATCCTCCATCACTGAGGCAAGCAAGCCTCATGTTAGTTTTAAGCTGCC